AAGCAACAGAAAAAAAATTTGGTTATTTGTTATTAGATTTTCATCCTAAAACAAATAAGAAATTTTCTGTGAGAGATTTTTGTTTTCCCGACGAACAAGGTATTTTTTGGATTTATTTACCGATAAAATGAAAAACGTAAAGAAAAATTCTCATATGCTAGCGCTTTTAGCGAAGACTACTCCTTCCCAACGAAAAGCAATATTAAAAGAAGCTACTCCAAATCAAGTGAAAGTGTTGTGTGAAATTTGCAATAATTTGCAAAAAGGAAATATACCCACTGATGTTCGTAAATTACAAAAATATAAAAAAATTATCAAGAAATTAAGCGAAAAACGTGTTCCTTTAAATACCAAGGAAAAAATTTTGGTTAATCAATCTGNTTTTAGCGAAGACTACTCCTTCCCAACGAAAAGCAATATTAAAAGAAGCTACTCCAAATCAAGTGAAAGTGTTGTGTGAAATTTGCAATAATTTGCAAAAAGGAAATATACCCACTGATGTTCGTAAATTACAAAAATATAAAAAAATTATCAAGAAATTAAGCGAAAAACGTGTTCCTTTAAATACCAAGGAAAAAATTTTGGTTAATCAATCTGGTGAATTCCTTCCTCTTCTACTAACACCATTATTGTCTATGGCAGAAGGGTTAATCGGTATAGTAATAGGAAAAAGAATCTAATGGCGAAACAGATGGCCTTAGTTCCCTCCCGAATTGATGATGAGTTATCAAAAGCCTGAAATAAGAATTGGTTCTAATATCGATGAATTACTCGAGACTACAAATTAACCTGATGACGATAAAGTCAAGTTATTAAGTCAATTGATTTCGAGATATCAGGGAACCGTTCACGCTCCTAAAGAACCTGTCAGAGTGTCGGTCGTATCTAACCAAAATGAAAACACAGAATCTCAGCCGAAAGAAGAAACTGATGATGACAAATTTATGAAACAAATAATTTTATCGGTACCTCAATTATATCAAAAATATATACCTCATTTAATCGCTAAGTTGAATCAAAGTCATTACGGATGGAATTCTAAAAGTGAATTAAGAATCGACAGAAAACCTGTTATCAAGAGTCATATAGTAGACTTAGTTTCGTATGTAATGAGAAATAGAAAAACTGTGTTACCTCCTGTTGGTTTTAAAGACTTTTTTGATGGGTTAAAAAAAATAAATATTCCTAAAGAGTGGATCGGAAACAAAAGTTTGGCGACATCACCAAAAAATATATTTGATCAATCAACATCGATCGAAACTCCCTAAGAAATTTTCTCTCATCAGTCGAAAAAATCTAAGAGGAAGAGTAAGAAAAGTCTCGAATGTAAAACTTTTAAAATCAATATACTATAATTTTAAATCTCTAGCGTCTTTTGGTGGTGTGAGTAAATTAGTTAAAGAATCAAATTTACCGCGATCTGTTGTTAGAAAATGGCTGTCTTATCAAGTAACTTATATGCTTCATAAACCTGTAAAAATTAAATATTCGCGACGAAAAACTATAAGTTTTTCTCCTAACGACTTATGGCCAGCTGATTTAGTTGTATTAAAACAATTTTCTACATTTAATAATGGAATAAAGTATTTATTAACTGTAATCGACGTATTTACTAAGTATTGTTATGTTGTACCGATAAAAGATAAAAAACCCCAATCGGTTTTNTCACGTTAGTGTTAACGAGCTTGAAAACATTTCTGTGGAATTAAAGTTTTCGAAGGCAATACCGGAAACCATAAACGTTTTTTGTTTGTTAAAATATAATAATACCTTAGAAATCGATTATTCACGAACTTTATTCGTCGATTATTAATGAATACTGTTACGTTGTGGAGATTGGCAGCGAGCGATCCGAAAATATTAAAAAATTTTGGAGGAGTTTTTGCATCTGACGATCTATCGTTTCGAGTTGGTAATAAACAATCTTTTATAATTAATTTAGATGAAAAACATAAGCCTGGGAGTCATTGGGTATTAGTATTTTTTACGAAAGATAAAAATTCTTGCATTTATTACAATAGTTATGGATTAAAACCAAGGAAACCAAGTATCATCAGATTTATAAAACAAAATTCAAAAAGATATTGTTGGAATAATATTATTAATCAAAGTTTGTTTTCCTTAAACTGTGGTTATTTCTGCTTATATTTTTTATATAAAATTAATAGAAATCTATGTTTATCAGAACTGCATGTATCAGATAAATTTTATAACGATGGATTTGTTAAAAATTTTGTTAAAAATAATTTTCATTTATCAAAACTGATTGTAATAACCAATAACCAGTGTTGTAATTCAATAAAATAAAATCTATTTAAAATATGAAAATTGTGTTTTTTATTCACAAAACTTACTATTCATTTTTCTGCTATCCGAACCTCTGGCAGTATTTATACTGATACAGGATTTTCCTTAATAAACAAGTTATGCATTCACCCTGACCCACAAAAATAGGTAACCGGATTTTTCCAATTCGACTTGACAGGACATGTTACAGATTTTCCCATTCGACTTGACAGGACATGTTACGGGATTAGGTTAATCTATCATGTTTTTTTTTTTTAAAAAAAAAACGACAATAATCATCTGATTTGGTGTGAATATCGAGGTGTTTTTTATATATGAGTTAGGGTTAGATATAATACTGATTATATCCAACAGAATTATGTACTTTTTCAATACTTAAAATATAAAGAAGTTTTATTTAATACATACCTGTTTTCAAGGAAGAATTCTTATCCTCAGATGTAATGGTAACAGAGAGCAACATAAGTTTTTTATTATCTAGAGATTATATACGTTTTAAGTTTTAAAAAAAAAATGATTTTGTTCTTAAAGAAAAATATAATTTTTGGTGTTAGTGATTGATATCGGCAAGTGAATTATGGTAAATATTTTTACTGATCTTTATAGATAATATACAACTTGTTGCTAGATCCAAATCGAATTTCGTCTTTTGTTTTCACCACCTCTTTTCTTATCAAAATCAAATTCTACAATTAGTTTAATTTTATTTAAGTTTTCATTATATCATCAATGATGTTACTAATATCATGAGTATAGAGAAACAAAAAACTGTCATAATATTTTTTTTTTCTCAAAATCAAATTCTACAATTAGTTTAATTTTATTTAAGTTTTCATTATATCATCAATGATGCCACTAATATCACTAGTATAGAGAAACAAAAACTGTCATAATATAATTTCTTAACGGAATTATTAGGCGAAAAAACAGCTGTCCTCTACTGCCATAGTTTGAAGACAAAAAACAGCTGGGGAAAAACAGCTGTACCCAAGTTAAAAGACGAAAAACACCTGCGAAAAAACAGGTGTGCCCTTGTACCAGTTAGAAGACAAAAAACACAGCTGTCCCTAGTTCCAAGACACAGCTGGGGGAAAAACAGCTGTCCCAGTTTGGTAGTTTGAAGACAAAAAACACAGTGTGGGAAAACAGCTGTACCCTAGCACCGTAGTTAGAAGACAAAAACACAGCTGTCTGAGTTTAAAGACCAGCTGCGTTCCCACGACCTAGATAATAACTCTTCGAAGACAGGACAAAGAAGTAGCTGAGGATAAAAGCCGCTGAATTTTTCCAGAACTTCACTCATCGACCAACCTTCCTACCAAGAACTTCACTCATCGACCAACTTTTCTACCGAGAACTTCACTCATCGACTAAGAACTTAACTCATCATGTCTGACATCGGTAAGTAATTTTTATTTTAATAATAATAATACCTACCTTAATTTAGATTATAATTTTTTTTATAAAATTAATTGTAGAATTTGATTTTGATTTTGAAAAAAAAAATAAGAAAAGGGGTCCTAAGCCTAAAACACCCGACAGTAATGAAAACAAAAAGACGAAATTCGATTTGGATCTAACAGCTGAGAAAAGTAAGGAAATCAAAATTCCAGACTTTAAAATTAAGATTAGTGAATCTGAGAGAATCGAGATACAGGAGTTTCAATCAAATTTTTATGTATGTATGACGAAAAGTAAAGGGTCATATCCCGCTAATAAATATAACATAAATGTAAAAGATTTTAACAAGTATAAACAAGCATTCAACGCAATGGGGCAGCATTTGGAAGAATATACCAAATTTTAATAGTATGGTATAATGTTTTTTTTTTTTTTACAAATTATTGATTGTGTCATGTTTTTATGATATAATGGTATCAGTTTTAAAATATTTACATAATATTTTTATAATATAATGGTTTTATATAAAAATATTGATTGTGTAATGTTTTTTATGATATAATGGTATAAGTTTTAAAAAATATTTGTGTAATTTTATAATATAATGGTTTTATATAAAAATATTGATTGTATGATGATATAATGGTTTTATACAAATTATTGATTGTGTAATGTTTTTATGATATAATGGTATAAGTTTTTTAAAAAATATTTGCGTAATTTTTATAATATAATGGTTTTATATAAAAATATTGATTGTGTGATGATATAATGGTTTTATACAAATTATTGATATAATGGTTTTATACAAATTATTGATTGTGTAATGATATAATGGTATAACAGTTTTTTAAAAATATTTTGTGTAATGTTTTTATAATATAATGGTTTTATACAAATTATTGATTCTGTAATAATTGGTGAAAACAAAAAAGACAAAATTCGATTTGGATCTAACAGCTGAGAAAAGTAAGGAAATAAAAAATTCCTGACTTTTAAATTAAGATTAGCGAATCTGAGAGAATTGAGATACAGGAATTTCACTCAAAATTTCTATGTATGTATCACAAAGTAATATAAATGTAAAAGATTTTAGCAAGTATAAACAAGCATTCAACGCAATGGGACAGCATTTGGAGGAATATATCAAATTTTAATATGTAAAAGATTTTAGCAAGTATAAACAAGCATTCAACGCAATGGGACAGCATTTGGAGGAATATACCAAATTTTAATACAAATTATTGATTGTGTAATGATACGTTTTTTTTTTTAAAAAAAAAAAAATGGTTTTTACATTTATATTAAGGAAAAAAGCCTTCAAGGGGTATGTCAGAAGTTATAGAGCATTTATCTCTAATTATACAGATCCTAGTATTTTATTTGAAAATGTTAGACATACTATTTATAATATTTTGACTAATGATGATTTAATTTCAAGGATGAAATTTTTATTAAATCTAAAGATAAAATTTATAAAATATTCAGAAAATGAAACTATTACGTATCAGGATGTGTTTTTCTCCAGTCGAGTAGAACATATTTTATCTCGGTATATGATCGATGAAAGGTTAACAAATGCTTTTGATACAATTTTAAACTTCATTGATCAGTTTATAAAAAACGGATCAGGGTGGATAATTAAGGAAATTATATTTTTAGATATTCATTTAGGAATTTATAAGGCTGAGAGTGGTGGATGTGGTAATATCATCCTACCAAAACATTTAATTAATAAGCGTTGTTTGTTGAATATTAAATGTAGTGATAATCAATGTTTTTTATACTGCGTAATTGCTAGTTTGTATCCAAATACTAACAACAAAAATTCGATTTATTCGTACAGGAAATTTTTGAAATATTTAAATACAAATACCCTAAAATTTCCAGTAAATATTAAAAATATTCCATCATTTGAAAAAAATAATAGTTTAAAAATTCAAGTATTTGGATATGAAAAAAAAATAATTTATCCTATTTATATAAGTAAATATCAGTTCGAAAAAGAAATTAATTTGTTATTATATAAATCCCATTATTTTCTAATTAGAAATTTTAACAGACTATTGTCAGAAAAATCAGGAATACGAAAATTTTGTAAACGATGTCTTATAGGCTTTCAAAGAAGCCATACTTTAAATGAGCATGTGAAAATATGTTCTAATTATAAATATCAGAAAGTTTCTACCCCGACTGGAGAAAGAGCGGTTGCTAAATTTACTAATTACGAGAAGCAATTATATCACCCCATAGTAATTTATGCTGATTTTGAATCGATTCTAGAAGAAGTTGATGTAAACGCTGTAGATCTAAATTCTAGTTTCACTAAAACTATTCAGATTCATAAACCTATATGTTATTCTATCGTTATTATAGAAAATGATGATGATTTATTCTATTCTAATTTTTATTGTGGTAAAGATGCTGTTAAGCATTTTTTATTTGATATCCAGAATCAATTAAAATTTTTATTAGATAAAATAAATAGTTATGTAGAAATGAATGTGGATACTATTCCCGATAATTACGAACATCGGTGTCATATATGTGAGGAGGGGTTTAATTATGATGATATCAGAGTAAGAGATCACGATCACTTAACAGGTGATTTTCGCGGAATAGCTCATAACCATTGTAATTTAAATTATAGATTCAAAAAATTTATTCCTATTATACTACATAATTTTACAGGTTATGACTCCCATCTGATTTTCAAAAATATTCCTCCTAAACTATTTTCGAGAATTCAGATTATCCCAGTTAATTCAGAAAAATTTACTACGTTTACTTTAGATCATTTCAAATTTATAGACAGTTTCCAATTTTTAAATTCTTCGCTAACTACTTTAACAGAAAATTTAAAAAATGCAAATTATAATTTTCCTATTTTTAATCAATTTTTCTATAATAACGAAAATAAAAATTTATTAAAAAGGAAAGGAATTTTCCCATATTCTTATTTTAAAAATGAGGATATTTTATACGAGAAATGTTTACCCCCAAAAAAATATTTTTATAACGAATTATCTGGAGAAAATATTAGCGATGATGATTATGATCATGCAAAATTAGTTTGGAAAAAATTTCGTTGTAAAAATTTTAAAGATTATTTAAAATTATATCAATATGTTGACACTTTATTACTAGCTGATATATTCCAAAATTTTAGAAAATTAAGTTTAAAATATTATAATTTAGATCCAGTATATTTCATAACAGCTCCAGACTTAACATGGAATTGTGGATTAAAAATGACAAAAATTCAACTCGAATTATTTAAAGATATTAATATGTACCTTTTTATTGAACAAGCAATTCGCGGCGGAATTAGCCTAACTTCGAAAAGATTCGCGAGGGCCAACAATCCTCTAATTCCAGAAACCTATGATAAAAATCAACGACATAACTATATTATTTCGATAGATGCTAATAATCTCTACGGATTTGTGATGAGTTCTTATTTACCTGTAAATAATTTCAGATGGTTATCTGAGGATGAGATAAATGCTTTAGACATTTGTAATATTCCCGATAGGAATAATATAGGCTATATTTTAGAGGTTGATTTAAATTATCCACCAAATGTTCATGACCGCCATAATGACTTACCATTAGCTCCTAATCATACATATATTCCATTCGATTTATTATCAAATTATCAAAAATCGGTATTAACTAAATTAAATTTAAAATATAATAATAATAATAAGAAATTAATTCCAACTTTGTTTGATAAACAAAATTATGTAATTCATTATAGAAATTTAAAATTTTATTTAGAAGAGGGTTTAATATTAACTAAAATTCATCGAGTGCTTGCATTTAATCAAGAACCATGGCTTAGAGATTATGTATTGTTTAATAATAAAAAACGGCAGGAATCAACGAATGATTTCGATAAAAGTTTTTTCAAGTTAATGAACAACAGTTTTTTCGGTAAAACCTGTCAGAATGTGAGAAAGCGTTTAAATTTAAAAACAGCCATGACTGAAAATCAATGTCGAAAGTATTTATCTCACTCAGCTCTCGAAAATTTCCAAATTATTAATGATAATCTCACGATTTTTAAAATGAAAAAAATTAACTTATGTTTGGATAAACCGATTTATATAGGATTTTGTGTATTAGAATTAAGTAAATTGCATATGTATCAAATATTTTATAAAATATTTAAAAATAAATATGGTGAAAATGTGAATTTGTTATATACAGATACTGATTCACTAACACTTCAAATTTATACGAATAATTTATATAATGACTTTAAATCATTTCCAGATATTTTTGATTTCAGCAACTACCCTAACACACATGAATTATTTGATGTAACAAATAAAAATAAGCTTGGATATTTTAAAGACGAGACAGCGTCTAAACCTATAATAGAATTTTGTTCATTAAAACCGAAAATGTATTCGTATATTTTCGATAATCAAAATAAAAAAACAGCTAAAGGAATTAAAAAATCTGTTGTTAAAACCTTTAACCACGAAAAATATAAAGAAGTTTTATTTAATACTGAGCTATTAAGACATCAGCAGTATGGTATTAAAAGTAAAAACCATATTGTAACAACATATCTTCAGAATAAAATATCACTCTCCCCGTTTTACGACAAAAAATTTATTTCTGATAATGGTATAGATGTGATATCGTTCGGACATTATACTTTTTATATTTAAATTCTTCCAGATTCTCTGATATCATCTCCCCCCCAATACGGTTACATATTATTGTACAAGAGGAAACGAAATTCAAAAACTTGTTTAATACATGGTGTTTCGAGTAAAACATATCGTTGTTTAAAACAAGCTGTAAATAAAGCTGGATTATTTAAATTACCAAATAATAAGAAATACTTTTGTAAATTTTTTGTATTGACTAACCAAATAACTATGATGTTATGTAATAATAATTTTATAAAATGTAGTTGTTCTAACTGTAATCGTACTTTTTAAAAATGTTGTAACCATGTTTATATATAATAAAACTATATCCTAATACAGAGTTTTTTTTATAGAATTCAAACACATTACACCACTCGAATGGGAAAAGTTTTCGAGTTTACCGATGGACGAAAATAATATCAAACGTTTTAAAAACTATATTAAATGGGGAATTATAAGCCAAAAAACTGATTTAAGCAGAGACTTCATTTCTGAATTTGCTGATAATTTAAACTGGGAGCTAATATGGAAAAATTATATATTCACCACTACGTTTATCGAAAAACATATTAAATACGCTAAATGGAATATAATTTCCGAACACCAATTATTAGACGAAGAATTCATGGATAAGTTTTCGGACTATCTTAATTGGGATAAAATAGCAAAATTTCAACTTCTCTCCGATAATTTTATTAAGAAATATATTGATAAATTAAATATGAGAATAGTTTTAAAATATCAGCGATTAAATACCGATACTCTACGGGAATTACAAGATTTTCTCCACTGGGATTTGGTTTCTCGTTATCAAATACTGAACGAAGATTTTATTCACGATTTTAAATACCATCTTTTCTGGTGTTATATTATTAAATATCAGAAACTAGATCATAAATATATTGCTGAAAACTCTCACAGTTTGTTAGTCTACATACTTCAGGATATTTGTAACATTGCTGATGATATAATGGAAAAAATAAATAAATTTGATGAAGAAGAAGAAGAAGATTAAAATCTGTAACATATCGATTTTTAAAGAAATAAAAAAAGTTAAAAGAGTCAATTGTATTTTTTTATTGAGTAATTAATTGTATTATCTACAAAATCAGAAATATATAACGATAGAGAAAATCTTAAGTTCTGAACAAAATATTGAATAGATGATGGAATGCAGTTCACTTTCAGAGGGGCCCAGTTTTAGGTAAAGAATGCAGTCTAACAACTTTCTTTGCAACCGCTTTAGGGTAAAAAGATTTCTCCAGAATAATTTCGTTAAGGAAAATATATATTATAACAGTTTCTCTATACTAGCGATGATATAATGAAAAAAAAAACTTAAATAAAATTTTAAATTAACGAAATATATTTACCATAATTCACTTGCCAATATCAATCACTAACACAAAATCATATTTTTCTTTAAGAACAAATCGTTGTTTAAAACTTAAATCGTATATAATCTCCAGATAATAAAAATATACTTTCAAAGGTCTCTGTTAAAGCGAGAATGACATGCAAAATTCGAAACACAAAGAACGTAGTGTAGGGGTCTACAGGACATAGTTCAGGGGGTACAAATTTGTAAAGATTTTTTCCCAAAAATTAATTCCGTTAAGAAAAAATATATATATTATAACAGTTTCTCTATATTAGCGATGATATAATGAAAAAAACTTAAATAAAATTTAAAATCTTATAAGAAACAATCATATTTTCTAAAACTAGCAACAAGTTGTATATTATCTACAGAAAATCAGTAAAATTAACGAAATATATTTACCATAATTCGCTTTCCAATATCAATCACTAACACAAAATCATATTTTTCTTTAAGAACAAATCGTTTTTTAAAACTTAAATCGTATATAATCTCCTGATAATAAAAATATACTTCCATCGTCTCTGTTAAAGCGAGAATGACGCGTGAAATTCGAAACACAAAGAAGGTAGTGTAGGGGACTACAGGACTTAGTTCAGGGGTACAAATTTGTATTACAAGGGAAAAGTTTCGAATTTTTTTAAAAAAAAAAAAAAGTTGTATTATTAAATTCTTATACAAATTAAATATAATTTACACTGTATAAGTCTTTATTTCGATATAATTCAAAGAAAAAATTTTTTTTAAATTATGTTATATATATTTTCTTATATACTAATTAATTTTTTATAACCCAATGTGTATCGAACCCATACTACTCATATAACTATCAAATTTTACAAATGATATTGTAAAAATACTCACATGATGGATAGAAGACTTCGAATAACTGAAATGTATTTCAGTGTAGTGTGTTCTAAGAATGTAACGAATTGATTTTTCCTCTATGACAACGTAGGAAATAGTTGTTGTCACAAAGAAAACATTAATGTTTACTTTTAACTAATCGAAAATTTTTCAAATTATATTTTACAATTTTAATTATATTTTATTTCAAATGTTTAATAATAATTAAAAATTCCATTCATTTGTTTGTTTGAGAAACAAGTTATAAAATTAAATATGCATTTTATTTTTATAAAGTTTAATAAATTTCTATTATTAAAATTTCAAAGAATTTATCGTATTGATTATCGATCAAAACAGCATAATTTTCAGAAGATATATTTTTGTACACTACAATGTACTTTTTGTATCTTTTTGTTTTGAATGATCTTAAGAAACATAAGTGTACACAGTGTATCCAGAAAAAAGCTTAAAGAAAGTGAATAAATTACTGCAAATCACTGCAGAAAATTTACTAAAGCTATTAATTAAAAATTAAAAATAAATTAATCGATACATTAATATTTAATCAGTAACTTTGTTTGTATCAAATTACAAAAATACTTAAAGATCACGATAGTATTTCCAAAAAAACAGCAACTTCGAACAACTGAAATCTTTCATGCATATTAAGTAACATTTTTGGTATTAATGTAACTAAAAATTTCAGTTTTTACTGCGAAAAATGAATAAAACATAGAACATAAATGAATATAGGTTAAGATTTGTTGATGGCCTACTNACTTACTATTTATTTTCACTAAATTTTCAGCGTTCAATCGTTGTCATTTTCTTCTATTACAAGCTGGTATCTGAACGTCAGGCGGTATTTATACTGATAAAGGATTTTCCTTAATAAACAAGTTATGCATTCACCCTAACCCACAAAATTGGTAACCGGATTTTCCCAATTCGACTTGACAGGACATGTTACAGATTTTCCCATTCGACTTGACAGCACATGTTACGGGATTAGGTTAATCTATCATGTTTTTTTTATTCGAAAAAAAAAATCATCTGATTTGGTGTGAATATTGAGCTCTTTTTATATATAAGTTAGTGTTAGATATAATACCGATTATATCCAACAGAATTGTGTACTTTTCAATACTTAAAATATAAAGAAGTTTTATTTAATACATACCTATTTAGAGGAAGAATTCTTATTTTCAAATGTAATGGTAACAAAGAGCAACATAAGTCTTTTTTTTTATTATCTAGAGATTATATACGATTTAAGTTTAAAAAAAACGATTTGTTCTTAAAGAAAAAAATATGATTTGCTGTTAGTGATTGATATTGCCAAGCGAATTATGGTAAATATATATATATATATTTTAAAAAACGGTATTATTGGACAGCGTTTTTTAATAAAAAATTTATTATGTTAATTTTACTGATCTCTGTAGATAATATACAACTTGTTGCTAGTTTTTTAGAAAAATATGATTGGTTCTTATAAGATGTAACTTTTTTTTTATCTGCTTACTTTTCTCAGTCGTTAGATCCAAAATCAAATTTTGTCGTTTTGTTTTCACCACCTCTTTTCTTATCAAAATCAAATTCTACAATTAGTTTAATTTTATTTAAATTTTCATTATATCATCAATGATGTTACTACTATCGTGAGTATAGAGAAACAAAACTCTCATAATATTTTTTTTCTCAAAATCAAAAATCAAATTCTACAATTAGTTTAATTTTATTTAAGTCTTTATTTTATTTAAGTTTTCATTATATCATCAATGATGTTACTAATATCACTAGTATAGAGAAACAAAAACTGTCATAATATAATTTCTTAAAAAAATTATTAGGCGAAAACCCTGCGAAAAAACAGCTGTCCCCCAGTGCAGTTTGAAGACAAAAAACACAGCTGGGAAAAAACAGCTGTACCCAAGTTAAAAGACGAAAAACCACCTGCGGAAAAAGGGGGGTGCTGTTGTAGCCAGTTAGAAGACAAAAAAACACAGCTGTGAAAAAACAGCTGTCCCAGTAGGGTAGTTTGAAGACAAAAAAACACAGCGTGAGAAAACAGCTTTACCCTAGCAGCGTAGTTAGAAGACAAAAAACACAGCTGTCTTGGTTTAAAGACCAGCTGCATTCCCATGACCTAGATAATAACTCTTCGATAACAGGGCAAAGAAGTAGCTGAGGATAAAAAGCAGCTGAATTTTTCCAGAACTTCACTCATCGACCAGCTTTTCTACCGAGAACTTCACACATCGACGAAGAACTTCACTCATCGACCAACCTTTCTACCGAGAACTTCACACATATACGAAGAACTTCGCTCATCAACCAACTTTTCTACTAAGAACTTCACTCATCACGTCTGACATCGATAAGTAATTTTTATTTTAGTAATAATAATTCCTACCTTAATTTAGATTATAATTTTTTTTATAAACGAATTGTAGAATTTGATTTTTATTTTGAAAAAATAATAATAAGAAAAGAGGTCCTAAGCCTAAAACAGGCGACAGTGGCGAAAACAAAAAGTCAAGATTTGATTTGGATTTAACAACTGAGAAAAGTAAGCAGATAATAATTCCGGACTTTAAAATTAAGATTAGCGAATCTGAGATAATCGAAATACATGAATTTCAGTCAAATTTCTATGTATGTATCACGAAAAGTAAAGGATAATTTCCACCTAAGAAATATTATATAAATGTAAAAGATTTCAGCAAGTATAAACAAGCATTCAACGCAATGGGAGAGCATTTGGAGGAATATACTAAATTTTAATAGTATGGTATAATGGTTTTATACAAAATTATTGATTGTGTGATGATATAATGGTTTTATACAAATTATTGATTGTGTAATGATTGGTGAAAACAAAAGGACAAGATTTGATTTGGATCTAACTTGGCTGAGAAAAGTAAGCAGATAAAAATTCCAGACTTTAAAATTAAGATTAGCGAATCTGAGAGAATCGAAATACATGAATTTCAGTCAAATTTCTATGTATGTATCACGAAAAGTAAAGGATAATTTCCACCTAATAAATATTATATAAATGTAAAAGATTTCAGCAAGTATAAACATATAAACAAGCATTCAACGCAATGGGAGAGCATTTGGAGGAATATACTAAATTTTAATAGTATGGTATAATGGTTTTATACAAAATTATTGATTGTGTGATGATATAATGGTTTTATACAAATTATTGATTGTGTAATGATTGGTGAAAACAAAAGGACAAGATTTGATTTGGATCTAACTTGGCTGAGAAAAGTAAGCAGATAAAAATTCCAGACTTTAAAATTAAGATTAGCGAATCTGAGAGAATCGAGATACAGGAATTTCAGTCGAATTTCTATGTATGTATCACAAAAAAGTAAAGAATCATATACTCCTAATATAATATGAATGTAGAAGATTTTAGCAAGTATAAACAAGCATTCAACGCAATGGGAGGAATATACCAAATTTTAATAGTATAATATAATGTTTTTATACAAACTATTGATTGTGTAAAGATATAATGGTATAACAGTTTTTTTATATTAGCGTAATGTTTTTTTATAATATAATGGTTTTATACAACTTATTGATTGTGTAATGATATAATGGTATAACATTTTTTTAAAAAAATTATTGTGNATCGTCTGTACAGTATGTAAATTAGGTATCGTAAGTCTAATACAGTACTGTAATTTTATACATTTCTTGTGAAAGAAACATTTCTTATT